CGTGAAGTTCGCAGCTCATCAGCACATGGCACACTATGCGACACTGAGCTTCCATTTTAATGACTGAAGTTCGTTACTCTCTGTAGTTTTACTTTGTTAAATAATTTTTCAATCTCAGTCCAACCTATACAACTGATATACCGTTTCTTCCTATTCAAAATAATCTTGATGATTTGTAATTAGTGCCATTGAATGTTTGGTGTGGCCATGTTGAAACTTGTTTGTTCCTAATGTTGAATTTTCAACAATATTCAAAATAATCAACCGTTCCATATGTCACCGGTAGTCAGATTAAGCAGGTTAGACGGTGTTTCTTATGCCATATAAATTTTTACTCGCAAAACAAAACGCAGGTCAATGAACGCCCATGCAGATATGCTGAAGTGAACGCCTAAAAGTGACTCTTAAAAAGTTGAATTTCAGGCAACGTGATGTCGCTTGTTCCAAGAATTCAATTAGTTCACTGAAAAGAGCCAATTATGCTCGGCGATAATTGTTTTGCCAGTTTTTTGCGATGCATAACTCTTATTCACTGAAAATTCTGACTTGAGGTAATGTTTTCGTCATGCAGTAACTATCACCTTCAGTGATAGTTTGCTTGTTTAATACCAGCTGATATTTTCGCATATTGTGGGCGCTCATATGTATTCAAAGCTTTTATACATTTTGCAGCAACAATAATTTGTACGTAAATAGAGATAACGATGAAATGTCCGTACGTACGTTCATTGGCCATAAATTTTTAATAAGTCCAGTCTATTAAATTCATGGACAATATTTCTCAAGGCAATTCAAGACAATACTAGTTAACATTCTATCAATGCATAATTTAAAGGAGTTATGAACTTAACCCGGATTTTCTTAGTTCAGGAGCTACTTGTTTAAATATTTCAGAGCAAATTTAAAACCACCAAGCCTATTAACTTTGAAAGCGATTGAAAAAACTCATATGATAGAAAATTATTAAATTAACCAAGACTGATGTTAAAAATTTACGTTTTTCTCGCCTGATGCGTGCGCCGTGGTGCTCTAGAATCAGCGTGGTTTGCGTGACAAATGCTGCCAGACTTGCCAGCCGCATTACACTTTTTCACTAATATTTTTCTCACATTATCTGCTGAAACTTTACTGAATACGCCATAATATTCTCCTTGCGCTATTATTGATAATTAGTTTTTAGTGCATGACTGTATATCTACGTTTGTGTGAGTAAAGATAAAGCTAATGGTTTTGTTCTTAGTGCAATTTATAAGCGAGTTAGAGAAGGTTGTGATTCTGAACTCATTTTCTAGAATCATCTATTATTTTGCCTCAACACTGTGTCTACGAACTCAGTCTAATTTTATTTAAATATTTGTACAGCCGAGCATTTAGATGACGAATATTGTAGTCCTGATACGAGTCAAACTAAGGTATGAGTTATATTAAGATATTATCTCTGAATTTAGTTACGGTATAACTTGACATAACGCCCTTTAAATGTTATTCGTACATTTGTCATATTATAGGTAGAAAATCATTAGCTTACTGTATCATTTAAAAAATCTATATCGCCCTTAAAGTTCACATTAGACTCATTAGAATAAATCTGATGGCCTCGGCATGACGCTCGCTCCAGAACGATGCCTTCACTTCAATCATGTCTGGATATTTTAAAAGTTCATTAACAATATGAGGGCTAACCAAAATTATAAGCAGATGAAATAAAAATGAATGTCCCTCGACCCATCATTGTGTCATTGTTGAGTTTTTGATGTAGGTTTAGCAACCCATCCACCTAGTGTTCCTAGATTTATAAAAAACTTATTGTCAAAAATATTGTACATAACAATATCACGACAACAGAGGTCACAAATATGTGGTCACGACAGAGTTTGTGGTCACAACAGAGTTTGTGGTCACGACAGAGTTTGTGGTCACGACAGAGTTTGTGGTCACAACAGAGTTTGTGGTCACGACAGAGTTTGTGGTCACAACAGAGTTTGTGGTCACGACAGAGTCTGTGGTCACGACGGAGTTTGTGGTCACGACAGAGTTTGTGGGCACAACAGAGTTTGTGGTCACGACAGAGTTTGTGGTCACGACAAAGTTTGTGGTCACGACAGAGTTTGTGGTCACGACAGAGTTTGTGGTCACAACAGAGTTTGTGGTAACGACAGAGTTTGTGGTCACGACAGAGTTTGTGGTCACAACAGAGTTTGTGGTAACGACAGAGTTTGTGGTCACAACAGAGTTTGTGGTCTGATAGAACATTATTATCTTATCAAATGAACGGACAATCTCGCACTCTGAAAATTGAGGAAAGCGTGATGAACGCGTGAAGGACCCTAGAAGAAGCGCTCGAGACATATACCCACGGCACCCGGGATGTCGCATGAATTATCATTGTCTTCTCTCGTCTATATCAGGCCATCAGCATTATCTCCGAAGTTTGAATTGAGCAACGGCTTCATCCCACCTTCATGCCTATACATTTCGCATAAATCGATTCTTTATGGTCAGAAGTAATTCGTAGTTTAAGAAAGCTGATGAGCCGAGGTTTGAAAATCATATCGTCTCGCTGCCACTATTCGCCCCCATGCTGGAGGTAAACATACCCAACACTTGATACCCTGAACGTTGTCTGGCAGTCACCACCCGCAAGGTCCCCCCTCCCTCTGAACTCCAGGGGTTCTGTATGGGTGCAACAACTGTTCGTTACTCTTCCGGTGCAGGAGTAAGGAGAAGATGCTAATTTATTCGTACCCGAAAAAGCGATGAGTGGCTCAAAAATCTACGATGTGATAACATTTAATGCAGATTAAAGAAAAAAATAGTTATGCAACCACATCATGATTGTGCTTCGCAATAATATTAGATTTCGGTGATGATGTGCAAAATTATATTTCTTCATACTAACAGATCTATAAAGTTTACATGCCTTGTCTTAACGAGTCAGCTTGCAAATATTTTACCTAGTTTGCATGGAAAAACGCAATAGAGTCTCTGGTAAAATTTTCGAGTTACGTTGAATGATCGAAAAAGACCAATTGTTTGCTGGCCAAATCAGCTTCGCTCCTGAATTTGTGTGTATTCTTGGATTATAACGTTTTCGATCAAAACTTTCACGATAACGAGCTAATATGTACAATGAATACAAATGTTTGCCTTGGGCCGTAAAGATGTAACAAGTTCGTTACTCCGTCAGCAAATATATGAAGATTTTGCAAGAAAAACTCGGCAATCACAGACGAAGAATTAGTCGCTTCGTACAGGCACTTGAGCGAGTTTTTGATGATACGGCTCATGCTTGACTGTACGTTTACATATATGTTTGAATGTGTGGTGGCAAGTGATGTGTGCTGTGGCAAGTGACGTGTGCTGTGGCAAGTGACGTGTGCTGTGGCAAGTGATGTGTGCTGTGGCAAGTGACGTGTGCTGTGGCAAGTGACGAGTGCTGTGGCAAGTGATGTGCGTCGTGGCAAGTGATGTGGATGGTGGCAGGTTATGTGTGGTGGCAAGTGATGCGTGGTGGTGTTGGAAATTTCCTCATTTCTTGTATAGTAAAATACGTCCACGTACATCTGGCAAGTGATGGACACATCGTTCTCGTACATCTGGCAAGTGATGGCAAGATGTGCCAGTTGCCCGCTGTTGTGACCGCTGCAAAGGATGCGCAACTTTCGAGCGGTGGTTCTCAAAATATACTAATGTTCCGTTCCATAATTATCAATCTCATATTCTGCCCGAGGCTGCGACGTGTTCATTGTTTGCTCGACCTTTGCTAATTTTGAAGGTCCTATCATAGATTTAATGTCCGAAGTTTTCTGGTAATGTCGTCATGAACAATCACCCCTTCATTAGCAACATTTGAACTCTGAAAATAACTGGTTCCAATAATCGCAATTCGTTTCCGATATTCCGAATTTCTTCCTCAATGTTAATAATAAGAAGCATATAAATCAAATTTATAATATATTTGTCTGGAAATATTATATGTGCATTACCCATGTATTCTTCCTCTAAGGTAGGCACCAGGCAACTCTACGAGTCTACGAGTATATATATTCTCTGAAGAGCTGCCTTCTTCGTTCTGATGATATTCCTACAAAATACAAATACGGTCGATTCAATTGTGCTCTTTGTTATTGTTGAAGCGAGCCGAGAAGAGTCGTCGTGGGATCTCTCTTCCTAGAGAGCCGAGCCTGCCCACAATACAATCAAATACAAGCTTCTCCCACCGCCGCAGCCACATAGCTTACAACCTCCTAGTCACCCCCACTCCGTCCCCTGGGCCAACATCCCTCCATTCACCCCTGTCACCCCCGCTACTCCCTCCTTCAACGCACGAACTTCTGCCCTCGCCATTTTTGAGGTGATTTACCGTGGAATGTAAACCAGAATAGATTGAAATTCCTTTATTTACAGTCATTTTATTACTGTATACGACAAATATATAAATTTTGTTACATAATTTTCTCCCACCTGAATATCCAAAAGGTTGTTTATAGGTACCAGGCATAGTAATGATTGCGACGGTGCCAAATGTAGCAAATTGCCTGGGAACCCAAGCATTTCTCAGTGAGTGTACATCTCACATTCATTGAATATTTTTTACTTTTATCACTCATATTTCTTAGAAAATGTCTGGAAAGACATCAAAAATATTTAAATAGTCTCCTAACATCCAGTTATTTTAACATAAACTTTCCTATCAACATGCTTTATTCATTAATTTCGACTTGTCTCGAAATAATATGATATTGTGGAGTTAATATGTATATTATCAAAAATGACTAACAAATAGGAAGCAATTTGAAAATGATAAGAAACTGAATTTTGGAGTATTTAGTAAAATGAGTCCAGCTTAGACTAAATAACTATTGATTTTTACGGTGTTGAGGTAAAGGTTTTCCCCTACGGTGGTAGAGTCAACTTTAAATGTCCTCCCCTACAATGGGCGAGTCCACCACTACAGCTGGCGGTACTCGCAGCAGTGAGTGAATGAGGCGCCAGTTGTAGTAAGGATGCCAGTCAAGGAACACATGCGCAGTCGATGCAATATCCGCCATATTTGATGCTTTGTGCAACTTAACATGCTATGTTCATTTAAAAATAATCATCTTCTGAAATAAAATATTAAGAAATGATAGTCTAATAAGTTAGTATTCTCTTTTTAAACTCTAAAAACAGTATTAAGAATCAATGACTAGCGTAAGAAATCATCTGCTATATTTTGTGCGGAAAACGACGAAGGAAACCGTGATCTCTTATGTGATGAACTGAACTATGATTAACCCTCTTGACTACGTCTCTAAAAAGCTAAAATATCAAACGCTTGAAGAACAATCAAGACCTCCGGTGGGAAACCAAAAGGTGAGCATAAACTGAATTTTCTCTGTTATTACTACCCTGCAATTTCTGTGTCAGCCATGTTGAATGCGCGATGCTGAGCGCGATAGTAAGTGATACACGAGGTGCTTCTCACATTCTTTACCTTCGAAAAGATAACTGTTGTACCGCATGAACTGCTCGAGTGCAATCATATTTAAAGAATTATTTCAATTTATTCATATGTTGTATAATTGTGCATAAGTATTTATGCAATTCTGTGGAGCTGGTCTGTGCTGGAGTGTTGGACATGGTCATGTAATTATTGTAGCAACAGTAGCATGGTATTGTACTTAGTAGATGAAGTTTTCATTACATGGGTCCCAGATAAATGAGTCTATCTGAATTTGCATTTAGTTACATGATATCTTACCAAGTGATAGTAGGCTATGCATGTTTGTTTGCCTCCAAAATTGTGTTGGGCTAATTTCAGAGTAGATTGCACAGGGTCTTTGAGCTGATAAAAGCATTTTGCAAACAATAGAGTGAAATTGATTGATTTGAGTTGCTCTCTTCATTCCTGAAGCAAGGAGTTTAACTGTGTTCTAATGTAATAGAAATTTTTTAAATTATTGTCCAAAATACCTATAAATTTTCATTGATTACTCTACCAAAGCTTATTTTATAATATGTTGAGTCTTTTGTCTGATATTTGAAGTGTACAATTGAAAATTTTTTTGTCATCTGCTATTTTTATGCAAGAAAGGAAATTTCTTAATAAATACTGAAATCTCTTAGCTACAAAGTAACATTGTTTTTGATAACTTGTGAATGTCACAGCTTGATCATGCAACTAGGTTAACAATTAAATATGAAATAATTTATCTAGTGAGAATCTCACATCATCAAAAATGGCACTAAGAGTCTAAGGCTCTAACTATGGCTCAGAAAGTAGATATATTCATGCCTATTTACATGCATTTGCCATCAAATTATATTGAATTATTGGAGTGTGTCTGGCTGCTCTGACAACACCCCCCTTGTGCTATGCTCTGCTCTGAGACTCTGAGTGTCTTACATGTGATCTTTATAAGGAATAAATGCAGAGTATCAACAAAATAGAAAATAATTAGCAAATGTTCATAATTGCTAACATTGATTAGCATTGAAGCTAAAGCAAAATGCAGACCTTCACTTATCATGGTAATGAAAATATTGCTCAACAAGGCTAATAATGACCAAATTTGAAAAAAAAATTTAAAATAAGAAAACCAGAAAATTAATTCATGAAAGATGCATTAACATGACCTGAAACTGTAAGTGATGTGACAAATGATCAATGACAAAACTCATTGTTTAATTTAATCAATTTAACTTGAAGGTAGGTAACAGTCAGCATGATAAGTAATTAGTGGAGGTAGATAACAGGCAACATAAGCAACTAGTGGAGGTAGATAGCTCACAACCTAAGTAACTAGTGGAGGTAGATAGCACCAACATATGAAACTAGTGGATGTAGATAGCAGACAACATAAGTAACTAGTGGAGGTAGATAGCAGGTAACATAAATAACAAGTGGAAGTAGAAAGCAGGCAACATGATGAGTAACTAGTGGAGGTAGATAGCAGGTAACATAAATAACTATGGAAGTAGAAAGCAGGCAACATGATAAGTAACTAGTGGAAGTAGAAAGCAGGCAACATGATAAGTAACTAGTGGAGGTAGATAGCAGGCAACATGATAAGTAACTAGTGGAGGTAGATAGCAGGCAACATGATAAGTAACTAGTGGAGGTAGATAGCAGGCAACATAAGCAACTAGTGGAGGTACAAAGCAGGTAATATCTACCTATACCTAACCAGCACAGTTAGGTTTATATACATTTTAGTTTGTTTAGATCCCGTCAATTTTTAGGTTTCCACTGTAACTGGCGATATTTAGTTACTGACTGATAAGTCAAATAAATGTAATGATTGGTTTGATCATGAAGTAACTACCTTCAAATATGCAGTATAGTTCTCCGGAAATTAAAACTAGTGTGCTATTTTTTCCACTTCTAATTTAGTGAAAAATAGTCTATAACATCAAAATGAAGCTGGTTATCAGCAATCATGGATTAATGAAGCCAGTCAGACTTTGGACTTGTAGTTACATTTGGTAGAGCAACATGAGGTTTTAAAACAGTACCTGCATAAGAACTCTGATGAATGCTGATCCCGCAAAAATGTTTAATATTTTTATGATTTGCATTAGGATTTTTACAAATGTGTATTTAATAAATTAATTATTCTGTTGTTACATATCTCTACTCAGAAAAATTATGAATTTTCATCAATATATATACTACTACATTTTTTCTTTTAATCATTCTACCGTAATATGAAAACTGTATTGAAATCTTGAACATATTTGTTTGTTTGACGTTCTATTGTGAATTTCAATTTTTTGATAATTTTTCTTAGCTTTTCAAAGGAGCTCAAAAATCCCCTTGAATATTTGTCATAACAATTGTGAATTGTTGCCAAGTGTTGAGACAAACCTAGTTGAGACAAACTCATTGTTAGTTTTAGTTGTAGATAGGCAACAACATGTTGGGGATAGGTTGAAAACTTGAATTGTTTTTTCACAAGTGCTGAGAAAATAAAGTGCTTGATATATGGTAGTGTTTAGTAGTGATTTAGTGCTTTATTGTATATATGTTGCTTCTTAATGCAAGAGCATAATGCAAAGGAGCAGTGATGCTCATGTTACTAAAGTTTAAATAAGGATACCATTAAAATTATGTAGCAGAAAGGCTGAAAAACAATCTAGAACCTTATTTGTTGGTAGTTGTGCCAGACTCCTGACTTGTGCCAAGACTCTATGCCATACAAAATGCCTTAATGCAATTTTATTAATAACTTGTATAAACATTATGAGCAAACTCAAGTCACACTGAACACAAAAAATTGACAGTTGTAATAAATGAAGCTAAATAAATGGAATGAAATTGCAATCAACATTTAAATTATGTAGGTAACTAAAGCTCCCTGTTCTCATAGGTAACTTGTAATGCCACTAATTAGGTGTTAAAATGAAGATATGCTATGAACCATTACTCACTGCCTCTTGTAGGATGATCTGCCAAAAGTCCCAGGCAGGTGCAAGTATTAGCTATGTCAATTAGAAGCAACCAATTTGAATACCGGTATGTTTTTCTCATTATTCAAAATAGACCCCATTATTTTATTAATAGGTCTGGACCACAGCAAAAAAAATTAATAATAACTCCTGTAGAGAAAGTTTAATATAATTATTACAACTGTTTCAATGTTGCTGACTTACTCATCCTATTTATAGTGCTATTGTTTGAACATTACAGTACTACTCCAATGATGAACCTGTTTTCCCATGTAAGATTTACTTAACTTCGATCCAAGTTGTTATTATTATTTGGAACTTATGCTACTGCTACTTATTATTTGGAAGAAGAAAACCGTTCAACATTCATGCTTCAGATGATAAAGATAAGAAAATAACTCTGTAAAAGTTACTGTTTTTTAGTGAGGAGGTAGATAACTTTCATTCACCTCTCCCTAATAACTGCCATCTGCTATTTGATGAAATGGCTCCTGTTTTGCACGACTGAGAACTTGAGAAGAAGCATTATATATATTAAAATACTACAATTGATCTCTTGTCGGTTGTAGCTACTTCCATGGCTATATTAGGGCTTAGTATCATGTTATAATTGGGCATAGGTCTTCTAAAAGTCTTCTTATGAGTGAAATTATATGTGATACAAGATCCATTTGTGACGTTTTTATTGTAAATTTTTAGTGAATTTGTACATGGGCTAAAATTCAACCAATTGCAAACAAGATTTCACTGTAAGTTTTTGGGATAGCATTACTAAAAATTGTTAATAATAATTATGCCAAAGCGTAGCTTGAGATAATGAAGTCAAAGCCTACTTTTTTCAAATCACCGAGGCTACAGTACTTCTAGGAGATGAATTATTATATACTGGTAGTAGGTATCTAAAATTTAATAATGCTTATCCAATGTCTGTTACATTTCTGTTTTTTAAATACTCATTTATTTTTTTTAGCAAGGAAATAAATTTTTTAAAATTGTATATATATATATAGGTATATATATAATTATATATAATTTGTAAGAAGTTTTTCTTCATATTTTTACAGAGCTTTTAACAGCATTAATTTAATTGCCATCAAAAACTTGAAATATTCTAACGCACACTCTCGCGGAGAAGTCAAGTTCCAGTTCTTAACCAAGGATAGCTATGAAACTGAAGGACATGTTACGTGGTGCTTTAGAGACGAACGAAGTCCTCCTGATCCTAGCGCCTTTAGAGCAGCAGCTCATCCTGAACGATTTTACTTCTTGGACTTTGCTTGAGGTTGATGGAAACTAGATTGATCCTTATGATCAGCTGTGAAAATCCATTTCTTGACCATGAGTCTGCGTTCCTTTAAAATATCGGGCATCACTAAGTTTTTTATCAGATGTACATTGTTCTTTACTAACTTGCGAAAATACGATGGAAATACCATTTCTGTTATCCAGTCATTTTATCGAGAATGTGTCATCGCGTCAATCGTCTTCCCACGTAAGCAACTGTCTTAATTTTGTAACTTATTGATGTTTACTATTGGTTTGTTGGAAAAATCATGTGAATCTAATGATTAGCTCAGAAGATGATGAAACAATATTTGCTTTTATGAAAAATACTCAGAAAACTCGTGATTACGGAACTACATTTTTAACAGAAGATGAGGTGTCGAACTGTGCCTATAGGTTTTTGGGAGTTTGACGAAGCTCTGCCTGTGGTACGCTGGCTGACCAAAAGCGGGAACCGACGAGGGACGGTTCGCCCGTGAACCACCATTAAAGACTAGAAGCAGGCCTTACTGAAGACGCTTAGCAATTTTTGTGATCCATTCTCGGCGTGGATAATTTTGAATAGCTTCGATAGTCGTCACTAGATGGAGCATTCATGAGGAGACATTGGCCGATGCTCATGGTCGAGATGCATCTAAGCT